TGTCACGCAAACACAGCTTAAAGACCTTGATTAAAAGAATGGGCCACCCTAAATTTGCATGCAGTAATTACATGGAGGAAATCGTCGGAGAGTCCCCATGAAGTCACCTGAGCAGGTATGCTGACCCGCAGCATGGGATGGCATACGGCACAGTTTACCGGGACCCCGACACCTACCCGGTGTGAACTTGGCGGTGTTGACACGACGCGCACCACCGACCTTCGCACTTAATGCTCAGAAGTCACTGTTTCTTAGTTCACATAGCAACTGCTGGATTGGTGTCGGAAAATGACGGACAAAACTGTAAAATCAGAGAGGTACCATTGAATTGGATCGCACGAGTCCACGCTCAGCTGCCCGTACAGACACCTGCTGGGTCCAACTATCGCCTGGTTTTGAAAGGTGCCCGCAAAACTGTTTTAGGCACCGTAATGCACTTTAGGTGCCGTCACTTAGAAACTGTTGCAGGTGGTTTGTATGTCTCAGTTGTCGCTATGTCAGGCTGCCTGCAGATGACACTGTTCTGAATTATGTGCTGCACCGTTTGCAAGACGCACTAATGTCCATCGGTTTTAAAAGGGTTTGCCAACGTGGTTACACGAATAGCGCCCATTACGTACACGACAGCTGTTAAAGCTGTTCGAGATCATTCCCGCGTCAAGTCAAGTTTGCATATTAATGTTAAAACGCTCCTGGTGACCCACGCATCATGTGCGCAAATAGTAGACATTAAGAAGTGTTTGGATTTGCAGCTTGTTCACTAGAAATGTTCAGCAGTACCAAATTTCCACGCTGCAGGCAGAGCTGGCCTCAGCGCTGCAGCATGCATCACGTACCCTGGGGACAGGATGATAATCGTATGAATTGGAAAAGGTGACAACATTGATGAAAGTACGGGATAACATAAGTTTGAAAATATGTGATTTTTGTAAATATGCATTTGGATTTTGTGTAGTAAATATGAATTAAACACGTCTTTGACTGAAATACCGGTCTTTGGTCATACCAACCGTGTCCCGTCGAGTCATATCAAGCAAATACGGCGTCAGGTAAAGTCTAAAAACTAGCCCAGAATATTACATCAAACGTGCTTCGTAGCCTTTCCGGGGATTATGGTCTTGCATTAACATATAGGTTCAAAGTCATCCAAAGCTAAGGGCCATGATATGCCATGGAGCCTTAGACGGCCCTACAGCATCACGCACAAGTAGATGCTGGCATACTCTAAACTGAACTAGCAGCAACAACACACTCTAGCTTTACGAACTTCAGAGAAGTTCCAAGACCACGCTCATGAAAAACTGGACCCCGTTCGAATGAACATAAGGGTGACCTATATAATGCAACCTGAAGTGGTACGGCAAATGTATCTACACACGCTTGCGGGGGCAGCTGGTCCGTTTCTGCTCCAGCACATCGGACCAAGACCAGGCCGGCTGCCAGGGTTACAGCCAGTAAGCCCTTCTAAAACGCAGCTTCAGTGACGTGTGATCATAACCGCTACGAATGCGATGGCGTACTCACCTTCCTGAGCCCACCCAGCGTGCTTTGCCAGGCCAATTAACA